TTTGATTGACCTCTGCTCTATATGTTGTTGGTCTAACAAACATGTTTATATTGATCATAAATTATTACATTCTCATGACTCTAAAGGATTACAGATGACTTGGACTGATCAGTGTTTTTATTTCAATGTATTGCTTCTTAAACACATTCTAGACGTTGGATTCTTGTGGTATATCTGCTCCTCGTTTTTAGATATTGCATGTTTAAAGGAGCAATATGTAACTTTGACACCTCGTGTATAAAATGGGTCCTGAAGTCAGTTAATTCACCAAATAGGAGGTTTATAGAAGTGCATTATTCACTCTGTTGTTTTTCTTTGGAGTTAGAGAAATAAAAAAAAAACATCAACAGCTGGCAGGAGGCACTTCCAAGGTCAGCTGCTGTTAAAGTTGAATAAATGTTCCCTTAAGTTTTCAAGACGGCATTGAAGCAAACATTTAAAGAGAGAGAGAATCAATTCATATCGAAAGGGGCATAAAAACCAAAACATGGGCTAAAATAGGCTAAAAGGATGTTTTGAATTCCACGTTTTATCACTTTGTGTTAGTATCTCCCTTCACTTTATTCTTGTAGAGAATAATTAAGCATTAAGTATTTGCAAAATGATTTACAACAAAAACAAGACTTCATGAGATTCTTACTCCTGAACGCAAACACCCAACAACATGCTCACTCAGTGTCGTGTCACCCACTTGGGGACACCCTCGTTTGTGTCACTAAAAAAACACATCTGTAACAGCAAAAGAAAACACAACACCTTGTCCAGCTCCGGCCATCACAGCGAGGCTTACACACACAGAGCACAAGGTTTACACACTCCCTCATATATTTGTTTGTGCAGTTTTTTTTTTTTTTTTTCTTCAGCTGGGTGTATGACTGCTGTGTTTGTGCATTAATGCGCTGCATTGGTGGGTGTTTGGGAGAGGTGGATTGTGTTAAGAGCTGCTCACATGAGAGACTCTTTGTACAGCAAGTACTTCATGAATTGGTGTACAGATTAGTTGTGTGAGGCGAACGGCACCGGTACATACATATATGTGTGTGTGTGTGTGTGTGTATCGATGTGTGTTCAAGGTTGGGTTTGACCAATGAAAAGCTATCAGATATAGAAAACAGCTTACGGTTGTGTTGGGAACATTGGCTCTATTTCCAGCCAACGTAGTTTAAAGTGATTAATGAGGGATTGAATTAGAAACACTTAGTGAAAAGGAAACATTTTGCTGACACATTGGATAATACAGCGGCTGTGCAATGCTTGTTTAAAGTAGATAGATGTTGTTAAAGTTTAAACCCCAAAAAACAGTTAAAAGAAAAACAAATTCTGACTTATTTTGGAAGCTAAACTCATTTGATCCGTTAGACTGCAAAAAAAAACCCACACGTTTTAAAAATGTATTGGCCTGTGACTGTGTTTTATATTGTCATGATATTAGCGTTGTTATCACTTTACAAGTCGACTTGCGTAAGCAGCTGAAAAACATTCACCACAGCAGATGATTCTTCTAACATATCAAGTTATTTGATTATTTGATTATTAGCTTAGCTTAGCAGAAAGACTAGAGCAAGCCTATCCCCTCTATTGATGACAATTTACCTTGCCAATCAGTGAATTATAAATGAGTTTGTTTACTATGCTGATGAGCCAGTCTTGCTCCTGTTTTTAGACTTTATGCTAAGCTAAGCTAAACCTGCCATTAAGCCAATGGTAAGAGAGCAAGAAGTGTATTTCCTACTCATGCATATATAAGGCCAGAGATATAGCTGCTGTTCAATCTTTTGTTTGCACACACAGTCAACAGCGTCATAAATACTCGACTGTGCGCTACACTTATTACTAGATGTTACCTCTAGAGGGCAGCAGAGATCTCAGGCCGTGTACAACTACCCGATGTTCGGGATTTAAACGACAAACATTGCGACACTGGAGCAGATTACCTTTATGTTGAAGTGGAAATCAGAAGTAGATCAGCTCAGGCGACTGACGACCAGCGGACACGTCACACCATCAGATCCCTCCTCACTCTGTTTCTCCAATATCTTCCTTCGTGCCCAGGTGTAACGGTTTCAGAGTTCAACTTCATCTTGTTATGTAATGACTCTTTCCTGACGTCAGAAATAAGCTATAACCTCTCACTAATAACCACTTACAAAACAGTAAACAATGAATATTCCTTCCTTATGTTGTGCAGCACATTAACAGACTTAATGAAGGAGTTTTGTTGCAGCTTAGGGGCTCTTTTGTGTTTATGTATAAATAACTGCTTCAAATTGTTTGTGGTTTGTATTACATAAAGCATTAGAACTGTATTAGTCAGTAAAAGAGAAGAGTTTGTTGAACATAAATAGTTTTATGGTGGAGATTTGCTGAAATCAAATCAACCCCAAAGTACTCAACAGTGTAGTGGAAGCTGGCAGTCATTGCTCTCCTCGTCTTTTCTCTACTTCTGCCTCTATTATATTTCTATTTGCTGCTTTCTGTAGTCCACCTCTCCCCTCACCCTCTGCCAGTCTGCTCCTTTTAACGAACCACTCCCACCGGCTCTATAGGTCAGCGCTGAAAGGGGTCAGCAGCAGTGCAGTGTGATCGATATGAACACACACATTCACACACACCCACTGTGTGAGGAAATCAGCTGACCCAATAGAAACACACTTGTGCAGTGTCTTTCTCTTTTTTGGTCTCATGCTCTCTGTTTTTACGTTAGTTTTTCTCCATTATTTTTTGTAGCTGTTTGTAATAAAGTACTTTTGGTTTCATAATACCTCATTTACTTTTAGTGAAAACGTAACTCTAAGAACTGAATTGATGCAGGGTCATCAGTCTTTTAGTGCAGCATAAACCTGAGCCCTGAAAATGCTTCCTTTGCTCCCACAGACTTGTTCTATTGATCTCTGTGCATTGTATTTGTGTGTTTGTGTTTGTGTTTGTGTCTGTGTGTGCAGCCAGACCGTATACCAATAGAGAATCAGCTCGGTGTGTGTTGGTGTGTGTGTGTGTGTGTGTGTGCACGCTCCCACAGCACAACAACACTGACCTTGATCATTCTGTGGATTTCTGTCACACTCACTGAATGTTCTGCTGCCTCTGTAATCCTTAACGCTTTTTCAGGCAGCTTCAGCATCCGCCTTTCAAAGAGGGAAAGTTCACCTTCAGGCAAAATGTGTGTCATTAAAGGGACAAAGAAGTTGAGGTGCACATGTTTGTTACAATACATTAAAATAAATATATATAACTCTTAATTCCCCTCTAAGAGAAAAAACGCATTCAAGCAAATTGCATACAGGTGCAGAACAAAAGATGTATAAACTGCAGAAAGAAAAGAGAAAGCACTGAACACACTGAGCAGTGTGCAGACCTTTCTCTTTTTTTTCTGCAGTTTATTCATTTTCCTCTTACAAATGCAACCCATGACTTAAATTCAACACAAGTAAAAATCACAAAGTATTCCCCTTTAGGACTTAATTTCCCAGGATGCCTTTGTCAGAAGGGAGCATCTGTAAAACCGATTTAAATATTAAGACTCTTGATATCAGAAACTGCTGTATTTGGTCATGATGACTACTTTCTAAAAGAAGCTATTTAAGTAGCTGCTGGAACATTTTTCAACACGTGAACCCGACTTCAGACAGGAATTTACCTAATTAGTACTTTTCTCTGACGCTTATGTAGGAGTTCATGTGAAACAGAGAGGTAATATAATTATAGCCATGGGAAAACCCTGACCTCTATTTGTATTAGTGTGTGTGTGTGTGTGTTTATTGAGTATGTAAATGTGCATTCTGGTTGTTCTGATGGGATTGGGGTTTTGTGTGGTTTTATTTACATGCGGTGTTGCGACCGTGCACTTCCTCTTTCTTTACCAACCAGCTTCTGGTTGGAATCCCCAAATGAGAAATTATACTCCTCGCCTCAGGACGCAAATAGATTAAAGAAATATTGTTTTGTGTGAGGACGTAAGCAAAGAAACAAATGAAATATTCTTGAAGGGAGAAAACAAACAAACAACCAAGACCAGCCTAATCTTCTTAAAAGAGCTCTAAACCCAGTTTTACACAGTTTTGAGCTGTTTCTTCCACATAAAACACCTCACATAATGAGTCTATTACTTCAGAGCAGGTGTTTATTTGCTGCTGGGATTATGAACTGTGTTATTTCTACTAAACAAAGATCACAGGAAAAAGCTACAAAGAGAGAATCTGCAATCAAAACTACATTTTCTGAAGAAGACATAACAAACCCGCATACTGAGCCCACAGTTGGTTCATTCCTTTACAAATGGCTTTCGAAGTGGTTGGATGTGGTGTGTCATATCCTGTGTCTAATGCTGCATTCATGGTCCCGGGTTTCCGAGTTGGGAAGTCGTTCTTCCGACTTCAGTGTGCTCACGTCATTTCAGTTCAGGAAGTTAAAAAACCAGCGTGGATGCTACGAAGAAGATGCATGGAATGTCTCTGTTACAAGTTATATTTGAGCAAAAAGTTGATGTGCAATACGTGAATTAGTAAAAAGTATCATAACATAAACAAAACATATATTGCACCCCCTTGTGGTGACGATTATGACGTCAAGTCGGCAAGTCGGGCACCTAATTCTTTCCCGAGTTTCCGAGTTGTTGCTCTGGCTTGATCAGGCCTTCATGTCCATTTTACAACTCAGAAACTCGTTTTTCCGATGTGTCCGACAGCACATGAATGCACCGTTAAAAAAAAACGAACAGGTGCAACAGATAACAAAGAAAAGCAGCTCAAACAAATAGACGGAATTAAAACGATCTCGTCAGCATCATGTTTTGTGACTTGGGAAGCACTCAAAAAATGTTGTTTGACAATATCTCAGAAGCAACACTTCAATAATCCTGTCAACAGCTCTCAGACAGAGCGTCAAGCAGCATGTAGAGAAAACAACAGACACTTCAGCGCTGACAGGTGATGAGCGAGTAGCTGGTGCCATGCAGAGTGTGTGTATTAATTCTGATGTGTGTCTCTCGTTTTCCTCTCCAGCATGTGGAAAGGCCTGAACGTCAACTGCACAGACAGCTCAGGATACACACCTTTACATCATGCTTCTCTCAACGGACACAGGTAAGACTTCACACAAGTGCTTGTGTCTTTCTATGGTGAAGTGTTTTTTTTTTTTAAATGCTGCACAGTTCAACACAATCTGAAGATGTTTGTGAATACATTAACATGCATAATGTAAACATGCTATGTATTCCCAAAGCCCCGAGTTTAATTTACATTCCAATACTGCCGTGCTTATAAGTTATGCAGGCCCGCCCACAGAAATGGCTTAGCCCCTGAAATGCCCAGTGATTGGACCCTCCCAGGATATGATTTAAATCAGTAGTAGTAGTGTTAGCGCTGTAGTTACACTGCAAATGCTTTCACATCATGGCAGACTGGTGTCGTTCCAGGGTCATGAGTCATGACACAAAATTCCAAAAAAATGCAAAGATTTCTATAAAACTAAAAGCTTGTGGAAGCCCTGTGTGTCTTTGCATCTGCTAACAGCGCAGCTCCCTCTCTCCACCTGGGCCGCCCGAGAGATCCGTTACACGGGTGTGGATTAGCTGCAAGCCTGACCGCTATCCCTGTATGGCGGAACTGAAGGATTAGAACTGTGTTTTGGGGGCAATTATGTGGATTTTCCTCCTTCAGATCAACTCTGTGGAGAGGAGAGATGGGAGGGAGCGAAAGAATGCCGCCTCAGAGTGAAAATGAGGGCGCCAACAAAGAGCTGCAGAGGAGTGATTTAACGTTTAGGTGGGGAAGTAACAAGGGAACTGGCAATTAAGATATAGATAGAAGAAACTTGGCTACGGGCTGTGCTGCTTTTTAGAGATTTGTTATTCAGGCTGGGCTTTTTCAGAGTATTTTTTAATCATGTGGAGTTTTTGTCAATAAAAAAAAAAAAAAAAAAAAAAGCCTTTTTGAAATGCACGTTGACTTCCATTCCAATCTCTTGAATATTGGTATATTTGACCCTGAGATCCTCCCAGCACAGCTGCCACTTAAACCGCGGTGAGTTATATAAAATGAAATAAATGATTAATTAACAAAGCATTTCATTAAGCGTCTCCTGTGAGAGGCTTTGCCCTTCTCTCTCTGCGCTGTTTCCACTCCTGACATTTCAAATGCAAATGAAGCACTTCACCTTTCCTCTTCACAGAGAGAGGTGGCAACTCGAGCTGGAGTCTTCCTCACACCAAGCAGGATCTCTGACATTAAGACTGAGCTGCACCTAAACGGACAGCGGCATTAAGATTTGTAGCTTTATCTAGCTGTAAAGTGGGGGATTACTTTATTAAGAGGAAGCAATTGTGTCAATTTGTGATTTTTCGCCGACTGTGACTGCGACTGGATCGGTTGCTGTGCTGGTTATTCACTTACTGTCACACTGCAGCTCCATCCATGACCTAAGGCTGGTTTAGTTTGTATGCTTTAAGTGGGTGTCAGCTTGTTGCCAAATCAGCAATCACAAAAGTAGGCAGGACACCGACAAGGACTAATGAAGCTAAATTGTACAGCACACACCTTCTTTCAAGTAATAGAACCATCTCAATCTCATATTAACAAGCTTGTTGTTATATAATGAACTGTTTTAATGTATTGTTCCAGAGTGAAAAATACATAATTATTCATCTAAAGTTTAAGACAAATGTGAATAAAGTGGTTTTTTTTTTATGTTTCCTTCAAAGGGATGTGGTTCTGAAGCTGCTCCAGTTTGAGGCGTCCACAAATGTAGCTGACAGCAAAGGATGCTTCCCGCTGCACTTGGCCGCCTGGAAGGGAGACGTGGACATTGTCCGCATCCTCATCCACCACAGACCCTCGCACTGCCGAGTCAACCAACAGGTAAACAGCCGAATCCCGTCATCGGTGTATCTTCTCGAAAAAAACCTTCACAAGGCCACAAACATCCAGTCTTAACAGGGTTTTCAGGTATTATCAAGACAAGCAAAAGGAGGCTCAGTCGTTGACGAGGCTGTCGGTCAACCTTAGTTGTGCCTCCTTGATGAAACATGCCTGCTCTGTCTGGGGTAGAGAGGTGGTTTTATCATGGGCCTTATTTGTTTTTACAGCAACACCAAGAGGGAGCTCCAGTCTTTGGGCTTTCTGCTTCTGGCCTTGACTTTGGACTTTGGATCACAAACATTTCATAAATCCATCCACTGTCTCTGTTACTTTGGATTCCAGAGCCCCCTCTCACATTTTAAATGGTCTCTCGTGAATGAAACATAACCCCCTCTCCCTGTGTGCTCCAACTGTTCTCGCAGCAGACAGCTCTCATCAGTTGAATTAAACTTGAGTCCGTCACTTGTACTTCTCGGGGGGGGGGGCTTTCAGACCAGCGCTGCCGCAGGTCATCTCGTCATGGCTGCCGTCCAACAGAGACGATGCCTTACAGTTCTCAGCGATCTCTCTCTGACAGCCGGGGTGAGCGTTTTTTTTTTTTTACGGCTCTGAGAGCATTCGGCCTGCCACCGCTGTCAGTCCTCATCAGCAAAAATGACCTTCTTCTGCTCCCTCGCCTCTTTACTCTGTCTGCCCCCCCCGCCCGCTGCACGTCGGTGATGTCACAGCCCGCTGATGCACTGCGTTTTAAGAGGAGTACGATGCGTGCAGGAAGAGGTGTTTCAATCAGAAGTGTTCTCTGAAATGTTAATGACTTGGATGTCTTTTATTATTTTTTTTATATTCCTGCTCCTGATGGCGGTGTTGTAATGGACCCCACAGGTTATTGCGGCGTTATTTACTCTGCCTAATAAGCACTTTCTCGTCTGTCACCATTAGCCCAGTCACTTCCCTCAGAGAGGTGTTGCAGCCTAATTGTTTGCCGTGATAAATGGTGTCCCCGGCCCCCCCCAGAAATGAAGAGGTTTGTCAGCAAGTGAACACGAGTCATTTTCTTTTCTTTTTTTCCACCCCTCACTGATTTGTGGAGCTGAGCGTGTGCTGTGCAGGCAGCGTGGACACACAGAGGGAGAGGGATGCTGACTGAGAAGATACCGCAATGGATCCTGACTGCAGTGCACAGTCAGTGTGTTTAAATGTGTGTGTGTGTGTGTGTGTGTGTGCGCACTCTTATTTTCTTCCTGAAACATGTATGAAGACTTCCTGTGGTGAGCTTGTAGAATTTGTCAGTGTACGATACACCTTGCAAAATTCCAGCTATTTAGGTGAAGTGTTGTGTGAAGCTTCGACCAAACAGTCAAGCTGTTGATGTGTAGGAGGACTTACTCGCTGTAGGCATTTTTTTTTTTTCCCGTGTCAAAGTGAGTTCGACATCAAGACAGACTCATGCTGTTTTGTCTGCTGCAAATATACCAGCTGTTACTGCATCACTTCTGTCTAGTGAGTAACAGTTTTCCTCGATAGATGGATGATACAAGAACTCTGAATGAGAATCTGTTGCTTTTCTTCAGTATTTCAGGGAGGGTTTTGTCACACAACTAAATGTACAATGTTGGGCTTAAGTCTCGTGATGTGAGATGAAGAAACCTACTCTGAGGCGCTAGTGGAACAGTAGTTAGTGAGCGCGCACCCCATGTATGGAGGCTGTGGTCCAGCCCAGGTTCGAATCCCACCTGTGGCTACCCTACTCTCCCTCCCTGATTTCCGACTCTGTCCACTGTCCATTAAAGGCCCAAAAATCCCAAAAATAAATCTTAAAAATGATTGAATAGGACTGGAGATATCAATTCTTTGCTCATTTAGTACAATCTTCATTTTGAAGCGTCTACATGATGTTGCATGGTGCACAACATGAAGACATCAGTGTGCTGGATTCTTTGTTCAAATGAATACATTGGTCCAAATAATGTCCCAGTGGAGTTCAATGTGTCACTCTCCTAATTTCTTTTTCTTACACATTAGCTTTCATTCCCGTGAGTCTGTGACATGAAAGGGGGGAAGAAAGCATTTTCTAAATTCTCCTACGCCGTGACACTTGTTCAAACATTTTTGTCACGCTGATAAGCTTCTCCTCGTATCTCTCTTTGTATCATGCATCCCACTCTGAACCTTGTTTATCAACCAGCTGCAGAATGACTTTTTATATCCACACTGTTATCAACAGTTTGCATCTCTCTGTCTGCATAATAACAGCGCTTGAATGCTAAGCTACAGCGCTCACATTAGCACGCCTCGGCTGTCTGCCACACCGTTGCACACAGATATATATCAGCACAAAGACTCCACCGTGCTGTGCTTTTGACGCTCTTAAAGGAGCCGTGTTTTATGTTTGCCTTGAGCACTGAATCCTGCAAAAAACATTGGATTCCCAGCAGTTTTAAATTATGTGCATTTATATGACGCATGTTTGTACAGCAGTCCTGCAGTTACGTGTCGTCAGTGTGAGGGTGCAGTTGTTCTCAGGTTGTGTGGGCATAAATCAAAGCTGAAGATTTATAGCGTTTATGTGTGTTTACGATGCCTTAGCTTCATATTTTCCCACTGAGCGTCTTGTCTGCAGTAGAGAGCAGAGCCTGCATACGTTAGTGAGCGTGATATACCGACCTCCCCACACACTCACACCCATCATCCAGACTTACAGCAGCAAGCCCATTACCCCACTCTCAACAATATTACTCTGCCCACGCTCACTATTACTCGTGTCAGAGGTTGAGAGTGTGTATATGTGTGTTTATACCAGTGTGTACCTCTTAGTTTTATTTGGACGACTCCAGGAGGCAAAATTATTTTTCTTCAGCGAGAGAGATGCAACATTCCTGCTCACCTTAGTACTCAAGGTGACAAACGGCGACAATGAAAGTATTGGATAAGGACGCAGGAGGGAGCCGTAATGAGTGTAAAAGGTCTTTAGAGTGTATCGGAAAAATTGGAGAAAGTGACTTCAGCGGGAGTGTGTAGGTGGGCCAGTTTTTACTCTGCAGCAAATAGAGGATTAATGGAGGTTAGTGGGTGTTATTAGTTGGCGGTAAACCAGTTCCAGCCCACTGTTTACAGCCTAATTGGTCCCAGTAGTTCTTAATCGCAGCTGTTTTTTGTTTATGGTGGGAGCGTGTGAGGTGCAGTCTGTCCGACAGGAGGAGAGGGTTTTAACATTCTGTGTGTGTGTGTGTGTGTGTGTGTGTGTGTGTGTGTGTGTGTGTGTGTGTGTGTGTGTGTGTGTGTGTGTGTGTGTGTGTGTGTGTGTGTGTGTGTGTGTGTGTGTGTGTGTGTGTGTGTGTGTGTGTGTGTGTGTGTGTGTGTGTGTGTGTGTGTGTGTGTGACTGTGATAGATGATGAAAGATTGCCTGTTTACTCGAGGCTCGTCCTCTGCTGGAAGAGGCAAACGGCTGTAAGAAAGTGTGAGGCATTGTTTGTTTTGATCTCTTTATCAGCTCCAGATTCTCTCATGAACCCATGTCTAAAAAAAAAAAAAGACTTGGCCGACTAATGATGACATATTTAACCCTTAATTGCCCCGAGCAACGTTTGATGATTAAGATTAGTTTGCTTGTGCCTGACTGTGGCTGTGTGAGGGGCGGTTGTGTCCTTCTGACTGTGGGTCTTTTCTGACATACAGCAGCGTGTGTGTGTGTGTGTCTGTGTGTGTGTGTGTGTGTGTGAACCAGCTGATGGCTGTACAGGGCCTCTGGTGCAGCCAATTGAGGGTTTATTGTGTGTGTATGTGTGTGTTTAAGTGGGTGGGTGACTGCCTAGGTCAAGTATGTCCCCCCCGTGCTGCAGATGTATCCCAAGATTGTTTTCTTTTCCATCAACAGAAGGAATGGAGGGTTTCAACTATTCCTCCCTCTCTCTCTGTATTTTTGTCCTTCACCATTTTTAACCGCTTTTGCTCCTTCAGAGGAGGAGAAAGGAGCCGCTGTGTAAAACTAAAAGAGATAATAACAGCTCACAAGGAAGGGTGCATTCTGCGATGCGCGGCGTACATGGGTGGATGCGTGCATGCATGAAGTGCTTCCTGCAGACTTTCCTCCCAGGTGCAGCAGAGCCCCCTGGGAGCCCAGAGGCTTGTGTGAACTAAGCCAAAGGTAAAAGGTCACGAGGTTTCTCGCCTGCTGTGTGTGTTTCCAGGAAGGTCTGTCTACGTTTGTGCCTGCGTTCATCTTCCCGTGCGTGTAATTGCACACATGTTGCTACCACACATGAAAATGAGACCATGTGTTTCCTGACACTCAACATGCGAACACGCCGTCACAGGCCGCTGTGAGAAACCGCCCTGGGAAAATCCTTGCTCAAACACCGCCCACCGCAAAAACACACAGAGTCACACTGAGCCATAGGATGTTTTTTTTTCCTCTGAGTAATCTGTTTAAAGAAATATTATGTCATATGTTTTCCTCCGCCTGTCGCTCTGTCGGCAATGGGCTCCCTAATTAGAGTTCCCTAATAGAAAACTGATTCATCTCACTATGAATCCAAACAAACTTCTGCCCTCAGTTATGATTTCAAGCTGTGAGCAGATTGTGTCTGAGCGGGTCGATCGAGGCAGACATCCAGGATCTTCTTTTTCTTATTTAGTAGTTTGAGCAAAGACTGAAATATGGCGCATCTTCTTCTCCTTCTCGTTAGGAGGTTTGTCTTCTAGCCGCTGACTCTACAGTCAGGTCAGAGCACAAGTTTTAAATCACAGTCACAGCTCTGTGTGTTGCTCAAGCCAATGCATCAATGGGAATCTGTTTTAAAAAGCTGCTGTGGGGAGTTTTCAGCAGACTGTTATTAATGTTGAAGCTTCTTTATGACCTAAAAAAAGCAAACAAGACCATCGGCGACAGAACTGATTATTTTTATATTGTTCTTTTTAATACCTGAATCAGCTGCCAAGGGGGGAGGTGTCACTGCTTAAATAGCCTTTGCTTACATTTCTCAGTAATATTTTTCCATTG